TCTGGTCAGCTTGGACTCTGCCGGGCTGCTGGGTGACGAGGTGGTACCGCAGGGTGTCACGCCTGCTGCTGCCGCCGCTCACGCCGCTGCTGCTGGCACCACTGCCGCCAGCTCCGCTGCCGCCTGCTCTGCTGCCGCCGCTTCCTGCACTCCCAGTGCTACCGCTGGTGCCGCTTCCCCCACTGCTGCTGCTACTGGCGCCACTGCCGCCATTACCGCTGGCACCGCTGTTGCTGCTGTCGAGGGTGCCGCTGCCACCACTGCCACTGTCACCGGCTCCTCTGCTACTGCTGCTGACACCGGCTCTGCTGCCACTAGTTCCTCCGCTGCTGCTGCTGCTGGCTCTGCTGCCAGTGGTTCCTCTGCTGCTGCTGCTGCCGCTTCCGCAGGCAGGCACAGAGTCGCATGGTCACTGACTGCAAGTGGCGGCGGCTCCAGCCTTTCTAGGGGCCCGCTCTGGGTTTGGGCTGGGGCAAGTCGCTACCTTTTCTTCATTCCAAGTAGGCTCTGTGATTTCTTCCAGTCCCTGGGGCCCCTGAGTCTTGAGTTTCCACTGCTGCCGCTGCCTTCAGACCACCATCTTGCCATTGGAAGTCAGTTACTGAGGCTAGGAAGTCCAAAGTCCATCTGGTGGTGGCAACAGTGATCCAGGGGTCTCACATTGTAAGATGGTGGAAGCAGAGAGATGTTTCATAGGCTGTGAAGTCCAAAGTCCAGGGAGCACTTCTGATGAGGGTTTTCTTTGGTGGGTGGCTTTATAGCAATGCAGGGGTCTCACGTGGCAGAAAATGATGAAGCAGAGAGAGAGCTGAACTCCTGTAGTTTTCATATGTCTGGAAAAAACACTATTTCTCCTTCATTTCCAAAGGATAGCCTTGCAGAGTATGGTATTCTTGGCTGGCAGGGTTTTTTTCTTTTTTCTTTTTAGTATATTGAATATATCATCCCATTCTCTTCTGGCCTATAGAGTTTGCGTTGAGAAGTCTGCTGTTAGTCCGATGGGACCTCCCTTCTAGGTAACTTGACACTTTTCTCTTGCTGTTTTTAGGATTCTCTCTTTGTATTTGAGTTTTACCAGTTTGACTATAATGTGCCTCGGAGAGAACCTTTTTGGATTGAATCTGTATGGGAATCTTTGAGCTTCCTGAATCTGAAGGTCCATGTCTCTCCCTGTACCTGGGAAATTTTCTGCTATTATTTCATTGAATATATTCTCAATGCCTTTTCCTTTCTCCTCCCCTCAGAAATACCAATGGTTTGGATGTTTGTGTTATGTTAACGTTGTCCGCTATCTCTTTTAGATTTTCTTCATCTTTTTGAATTCTCTTTTTTTGTCTGCCTGAGTTATTTCAAAGAGACTGTCTTCAAGATCAGAAATCCTGGGCCGGCCTGGTGGCGCACTGGATAGTGCGCTGCTTGGGAAGTGCGGCGGCGCTCCCGCCCGAGGGTTCGGATCCCACATACAGACCGGTTCCCGCTTGCTGGCTGAGCGAGGCGCGGGAGCAACACTGAGGGTTGCGATCCGTTGCCGGACACGGAAAAAGACAAAAAGACAAAAAAAAAAAAAAAAAAGATCAGAAATCCTTTCTTCTGTGTGCTCTAGCCTGCTGCTTAAGCTCTCAGTTGTGTTTTTTATTTTGTTGAATGACTCCTTCAGTTCCATGAGTTCTGTTACACTCTTTTTTAAAGTATTAATCTCTTTGTATATTTCTTTCTTCATATCTTGGATAGTTTTGCTCAGTTCATTGTGTCATCTAACTGTATCTTCTTGTATCTCATTGAGTTTCCTTAAGATTTTTACTCAGAATCCCTTTTCATTCATTTCAAAAGTTTCCTGCTCTATGGGGTCTGGTACTTAAGAGTTATTTTATTTCTTCGGGGGTCTCATATTTTCTTGTCTTTTTGTACTACTAATATCTCTACATTGAGGTCTGGTCATCTGGTAGAGCAGTTGCTTCTTCTCTTACTCTAGAATGGGCTTTGAGGAGAGAGACTCCCATAGATGTGTTTTATATTTACCATTGAGTAGGGTGTTTTAGCATGGATTCTGAGTAGATGCAGTAGTATAGTCTCCATGTGGGTACTTCAGCTGTGGTCAATGTTGGAGTTGCATGTGAGTGCCTCCATTGCCCAGGCACTGGGGCACTTAGTGATTCCTTGCTCCTTCCCTGGATTCTCCTGGTGATCCTCTTTGTGTCAGTGCAGTCAAGTGGTCGGTGACCTGCCTGCACAGCTGCTGTGGCTGCTGTGGTAGCAGGCCACCCTGGCAGTGGTGGTGGCTTTGGCAGGCTGCCCACATGGCAGCAGTGGCTCCAGTGGCAGTGGGCTGCTCACATGATGATGGTGGCTGCCTGGCACTGCTGGTGGTGGTGGTGACTGCAGCAGTGGCAGTTGCAGAGGCCACGTGCTTAGATGTTGTGTCCACAGCAGCAGTCCATGCAGCTACGCTGTCCACAGTGGCAGCGGGGTTACTTCATGATGGTGGCAGTGGTGGCAACACTGCTGGCAGCTGCAATGGCCTTCCTCATGTCTGCGGTGTCCTTGGCAGCAGTGGGGCTACTTCCTGGCAGTGGCAGTGGCACTGGTGGCTACAACTGTCTCCCTCACTTCTGTGTATGTCCTTGGTGGCAGCAGGGTTACCTTCTGGTGGCAGCAGTGGCAGCAGTGGTTGAAGAGGCCTCCCTCATGTCTGTGGAGTCTGCGGCTGCAAAGTCTGTGGCTGCAGCGAAGAGGCCACCTGCAGGACTGCTGCTCTGTGGGGAGATGCTCTGCAATGAGCAATGGTTCTATGACCCAAAAATGGCTCCAGCGACTGCAGCAGTGGTGGCAGTAGGACTATTTCAATCTTTTTCTGTGGGAGGAACACACCCTGAGCACCTCTGGTCTGCCACCTTCCTGGAAATCTGTCTCTTGCTTTATATATTTTGAACCTGCATACATATTTAGGATTTATTATTATAAAATGTTCCTCTTTATCTCCAGAAAATGTTTTGCTTATTATCTATCTTGTATACTAATGTAGCTGCACAAATTTTGTATTGGTTAGTGTTTTCATGATTTTTTTTTTGTCTTTTTAATGTTAACTCTTTTGTGTCCTGATAGTTAAAATGTCTCTCTTGTAAGCTGCAGTAAGTTGTTTTTTCTTTTTTTTAGATCCAGTCTGACAATCAGTCATTTTCTTGGAGTTCATTTACATTTAATGCAATTTATATCTACCATCTTACAGTTTGTTTTCTCTTTTGCCCATCTGTTTTTTGTTCCTTTCTTGATTTCTTTTGAATGAATAAAATGCTATTAACATTTTCCTTCAATTGCATGTTAGTTACACATTCTTTTACTATTTCTTATAATGGGTACCCTAGCAATTATTAAATATATTCTTGACTTATTATAGCCCAATACAATTATTACCTTTCTACTTCCCCAATACAGCTATAATCTTAGAACTTTGAATTCTACCCCTCCTGCCTTTTGCTTTGTTGTTTTCTTGCATTTTAGTTCTGTATGTAACTTAAACTCCACGAGACATAGTAACGTTGTTTTGTACTGTCAGTATCATTTACATTTACCCCAGAGTTCACTATGTTGGTGTCCCCTCCTGTGATTCTGTATTTCTGTCTGGCATCCTGCCCTTCTGCTGGATAGGCCTTTTCAATCACCTTTGTATTAGCAGTAACTTCATTGAGTTGTTTTTCTACCTCAACCCAAGGCTTACAATATGGTCCTGGTCTCTTTTTTAAGAAATTAAATCTGCCACCCTTTGGAAAGACAGGCATAACAGCATGACCCCCAGAGCCAGACTGCCTGTATTCAAATGCTATCCTCACCAATTAGCTGGCTGTGTGACCTCAAGCAAGTTACTCAACTTCTCTGAGCCTTGGTTTTCTCATCTGTAAAGTGGGATGATGTGGTACCTCCCACATGGGTTTGTTGTGATGATTTAATGACTAAATATAGGTCAAGTACTCATAATAGTGCCTGGCACATGGTAAGTTCTATATAGCGTAAACATTGTCATCATTACTGTTTTTGAGTGAAGCCACAATCAGAGTCTCTGAAATCTAAAGCTATTGTTAAAAATTGGATGACTGACAAATCAGGGTTCACATGGCAAGGCCCTTGTGCCCTGCGGACAGGCTCCTCACCAAGAGGAATAAAAGGGCTGTTGGAATCCCTCTTGTGAACATCAGGGCTGTGATAAAAATAGGAGGAGTGGATGCTTGGAAGTTGGAAATACTGGGGCAGGTGACTCCAACCCAGCCTGGACAGGAGAGCAGTCAGGGAAGGCTTCCTGGATGAGGCAGCCTCAATGCACACATAGGAGTTAGCCGAGCCAAGAGAGGGAAGGTGCCTTCCCTAAGTGAAGGGACTAACATTTTGTTCTTTGGCAGACAAAGGACAGGGCACAGAGAAAGGCAGACTCAGCTCAGGAAGCAGAGGACACCCCAGTATCGGGTGGGGGGTCAGGTGTGGTCTGGGGTTCTCAAGGCAGAGAGAGAGGACAGGGCCACTTTGATTTACTGCAATCACAGAAATGTTAAAAAAAATGAAGATTATTTTTTAAAATGGAAGAACTGGCCAAGTAGGGCTATAATATTTAAAATTTTTATTTTAAGATAGTTGATTGTGAAATAAAGACAGAATGTATTCAAGGTGTACAATGTGATGACCTGACGTACGTCTACATTGTGTAATGGTCACTGCAATGTGTTTTGGACTCTTGCTTTTAGCAATCTGACACATTTCACACACACACATGCACGCACACACGACTATATGCATAATCGCGTTTGGAGATCATATAAAATGTCCTCATCTGCAGCTCTTCACAAATGTGAGGTCTGGAGCTTCCTAAGTCCTGATACTTGATTCTAGCAGTAGGAAGCAGCATGCACTGCCCAGGGATGGGGATGGGGCTCTTGCTCAGGAGCCTAGTTAGGGGTGCGGGGAGGGGGTAGAGACCTGGGCAGGTGGGTATAGAGAGCACAGTCTGCCTGGGGAGGTCTCAGCCCTTGCAAGGTGTTGGGCCATTCCAGCTTAGGTCTGCCATGTGGAACTGAGCTTTCTGTCCCCAAGAAGTCTCCCTAACACTCAGGGATGACCCAGGAGGAGGTGCTCTTTTGGGGGGCATCAGGAAAGTTCTCAGGGTCTCAGAACCATGTTTACAGCCCGTCCTCAGCACCCATCAGTGCCAGCTGACTCGGGACAGATCATGAGGCCATAAATATTCACATTCTTGGAAGGCTCGGAGAGGTGTCACCCAGAGCAGAGGGACAATCAATCTTGATATGATTATGGATGTATAAACAGACATGATATAATTTCTTCTGCAGTCTGCTGGGTTCCATGAGTGCGAGTGACCGGTGCAGGCCTCCACCCCAAATTACATCTCAATCAGTGTTAAGAGGCATCTGACATTTCCCTTTGATTTATGTATTAACCTTTACATGCAGCACAGGCGAGCGCTGATTGCTTTCATCAGCTGGGCGGGTGGCAGCTACGAGGGGCTCCTCCCGTAGCTTTTCTCACTGCATGACCTGCTGAGTGGCGTCTGTGAGGACAGAAATCACACATGGAGACTGCTAGCCAGCGAGCAAAGCCTGTGGCAATGTTCCCACCACCCCCGACACCTCCACTGGGGAAGAAATGTTCCAGGAAGATCAGGGGAGCTGCAGGTTCCATTGCTGTGAACACTCATTTCTTGGCACAAAAGGATTGAAAAAGACATTGGCTGCCCAGTTTGCATTGATGTGAGCAGCTGTGAGGATGGTGAGTAACAGACCACGTGTGACTGTGCAGCTGAAAGTCAGGGGTGCGAATTCCTAGAGATACAACCCATGTGTCTGCACCCCGCTCCCACAGCCACCCTGTCACATCATAGGGTGTGACACGCCCATACCCAAACCAGTGCATCCACAGAAACCCATACCCCACACACCATGCACACCTCACACGCATCCTTGCAGGGCACCCACAATGCACACTCACAACACATGTGCACGCACACACAACCCTACATGCATACTTGCACATGTACACATCAATTGTGCGTGCTTATGCTCACTCAGATGCACACAGCACACATGAATACACATGGTCACGCACACCCACGTATGCACACTCATGCTCACTCAGATGCACACTCATGGCACACACACATGCATGCTCATCCAGAATGCAGACACTCATGCCCAGCAGACATGCACACATGGGCCTTGTGCACACACAGCGTCCACACTCACAGTCCACTGGATGGCAGAGAGGATGGAAGAGAAACCTCTTGTGCTCCCAGCCGTTCAGAGCACCAGAGCAGGACAGGACTCCAAATCCCATCTGGCCTGGAGCTGGCCAGACTGGGTGAATCAGGCCAGTTCCCGCAGGCAGACAGACTGGGCTCTAGTGTGTTTTGGATCCCAGGAGACACTAGTGGGGATGAGGGAGTGAAGCAGGGAAGGGGAGCATGGTAAGTGCAAATTAAAGGGCAGGTTGTCACCTAGGCACCAGGGGCTCAGTGCACTGGGGACCCACGAGAATCTGCTGATTCCACTCCAGGATGCTGTAGAGAGGGGCAGAGAGGACATGGAATGGCAGGACTGTCACTGTCTCCTGCTGTCTCCTGCCATCCCCTGCCATCCCCTGCTGTCCCCTGCCTCCTTCAGAGGGCCTTTGTAGAGTTGTGGGCCTGATGACCAAGCCGCTGTCACACAATTGGTGGTGGGCACCCAGGTCTTGCTTACCTGAAGGGTATACCCTCTTACACTGTCCCCAGCAGCTGAGAGGCTGGAACCATGCTTCCCAAACTGTACTGTGCATCAGAAGCTTATTAGAGTGCAAATTCCAGACCCCACCCCACCTGTACGAGTTCAGAGACTGTGGGAGGATCTGTGTTCACATCAAGCTTCCCAGGTAACTCTGACACAGCAGCTGGCAGGCCACACTTCCACACTGGGTCTTGATCTGAGCTTGGAGTGCATGCACGAAGGCCCTTCAGCTGCTGTGTCTGTCTCATCAGTCATAATCCCACCATTAGGGACATTTCTTGGGTTAAAGCATTTATCCCCCATTATTAAGCAAATATTGGAACTCTTTTGTGTAAATCAGGACTCTTGCAGTTGGAAGTGTCAGATTCTCTAGTCAAACTGCTATAAGCCCAATAGGGTATGATTGGCTTAGATAACTGGAAAGTAACATACAGCTTCAGGCATGGCTAGATCTAGGTGCTTCAATCATGCATGCAGTTGGAAGTGTCAGATTCTCTAGTCAAACTGCTATAAGCCCAATAGGGTATGATTGGCCTAGATAACTGGAAAGTAACACACAGCTTCAGGCATGGCTAGATCTAGGTGCTTCAATCATGCAATCAAGAATCTGTCTCTCCCACCTCCCAGCTCTGCTCTCTGCTGTGCAGTTCATTCTCTACCAGGCTTTCCTCGGACAGTTGCAAGAGGGCCACCAGCACTCCCAGACCACATTCCACCAAATAGAAAACACTCCTTTCCCATTGTTCTAGCAGAAGCCCCAGGGCTGGGTTTATTCCATCAGGCCACATGACCATCCCTGCAC